TCAATCAAAATGGTAATTGGCCTGTACTTACATATAACCCTATCCCTGATTATGGCAAACTATATTGTAGCCATAGCTGCCCTGGGGCTGACTGACAGAAGTGAGGTTGCCGTACTCTGGCGCCACCAGTCTCTCCAATCAGTAGGAAATGCAGGTGAGGTGTGTTGCCCGAGGACACAACAACACTAAAAGCTTGAACCAACAACCCTTCAGTTAAAGGGCAAAGTCCTTCATCCAATGCCACTGTCGCCCCAGGAAAGCAGACAGTTTGCTTTAAAACTCAAATCACATAAGAGTTAATTTTTTTAAACCATTGAACATTTCTATCTAAATGCTTAGCACATACTCCATTTGTACTGAAATACTGATTTTAAAGTATGTAGCTGTGAAATCTTCTTGGACCCTAAATTTAGATTTTACTGAAGTATAACTTTAGGTTTAAAGGAGCTTACCGCAAGCCTCAGAAATTTTGCTAGCGTTTCCTCCCCTCTTACAAGTGTTGTACAAACTCTAAAGAGAAAAATCAAAGCAGTTTGCTGCTGCAACTGAGCAGGTCTTTCTTTAAGAGGTGAAATGTCCAATGATGTAAGATTAGGAGTTATTTTGAATGGAGCCTTTTTCCTTTTTAGCATATAGACCATCACTCCAAGGGCAGATCTGATCTCCATCCATGTTAAAAGCTTCCCCTTCACTCTTATTCTGTCGTTGATCAGATTCCAATTTGATCTTTCATCGCAGAACCGAGAAGTTTCATTTTCTCACTCGTGTGTGGAATCTGCGACGGAATTTGAGGGGCACTTGCAGCTGGATTTTTGTTATCCGTCTCCACAGACCATCACCCCTGTTCTTTAACTGCAGCTGAGACTCAATAAACTAGCCAGCTGAATGACAGCAAACAGGCATAATCAAACCCACGTCTAGAGAATTCAGCCTATATAAGTCTCTCATGAGACTCGCGGAGCCTATAGAGGCAACTGCTGTTAATAGAGAGCTCATCTTACATGTTGGGCAATTGAGAGGGCAGATTTTGGAAAAAACAAAACCAAAAAAGCTAGTGCAATATAACTTTGAAGTCAAGAATGGGAATGCATAACTTTAGGAAAACATTATTTAAAAACAATGGACTGAAAACCGACAAAATCGACAATCCCCCAAATGTCCACGAGACTGATGGACATTTGGGCTAATGTTTGGGCATCTATCCCAATATGCAATCACTAAGCAAAGCAACAATACCTTAGGATAGTGAAAAACATTATTAAGATCTGAGTTACCAAAAAAATGAAAAAGAAAGTAGCATTTCCTCCTCAATATTTTTAAAATGCTGCCAAACCTCATAATTTTACAGAGCCCAAAAGTGGATGACCACATTAAAAGCATTCCTTAGATGACACTATAGACTTTATCATAAAAAGCGCTTGGGAATAAGATGCCTTTTTACCATCATGTATTTTTTAAAACACCAGAGGCGGCAAGGGGGTCTAATTGAACGTGCTGCTGCCTGATATGTTGTTGTATCAGCTGAGTTGAGAAAATGTATATTTGTTGAAATATTTACACATGGTCTAGTGCTACCAGCTGGATAGGTGATTTTTAGGCATAAACAGACATAGACAGACTTTTTGCAGCCGGGATTTGGCACATTATACCAGTCACATGGAAATGCACCAAAACACAGCAAACTTCTGGACAAATGAATGTTCTTCAGTGTCAGCAACACTTGAAAAAACAACAAAACTGCTGAGGGGGTTTCACACAAATTGATCTGTTTTCAGGAACTCGTCCATAATCTGCATAAAATATAAACTCTCAATGCATCCTTTGGTGTTACTATGTTGGCCTTATGTCTTGGAGCACACATGTGCTTGGTTTGTGATTTATGAAGAGCCGGAGGCAGCTGAAAGTGTGGCTGATCTTTGTGTGTTTACAATAGAAATGCACTGTGAATGAAGCCATCTGTCATGATCCAGGAATGCTGGTGGGTTTCTGTGCCCTTTCCTCCCTCCCATGCTGCTCATGTCTGCTGAGGGTGTAGCTGTCATTGCAATGCAGCTTCTTATACATGCAGAATCGGTTCATCATTTACTATTTAAATAATTATGCCCTTGAAATAATGTACCTGCCAGGACCTGCATTTAGAAATAATCTGAGTTTCCTTTAACTTGATTTATTATGTATAATAAAATATATAATATTCAATATTAATTTGTGTAAATTATAAAATGTGTTGCTATGTTTAAAATAATTTGTCACAGATAAAACTATTAAAACATACTGTCAAATATATGTCAATGTTTTATCAAATGAAAATAAAAAGAATGAAGAGAAACTTTATATTTCTCTGCTTTAAAGAGGAGGTATACACTAAGGAGGTAGAAGCAACCCTTTGAAATTAGATTCAGGATAAATCCCCTTATTTTACTCTGCTAAATCAAACAAAATGAGTGGGTGCATCAAAAGGCTATGATCAGTGATGCACTGTCACATCTAAAACTATTGCCATGTACACTATCAGTGAGCAATGGCATCTGGCAACCAGAACCACCTAAACTCTCAGACATCTGTAAAAGAAATAAAAGTGTAGTCTTCTGCATTTCAAGGAGACCAAGCTCTGCGTGTCGTGTGAGCGTTTGTAACCTTAATGGCTAAAACAACTGTGAATGTCAACACCCCCACTCATCTTCATTGCCCGTAGCAACCTCTTTTAACTTTTAAAGGTCTTAAACTTATATTTGTCAGATTAAATGGAAACATTTATCAAACCCTGTGCTTTAACCAAGTGGTGTCAGGCCAAGATAAAGGGAGAGACCAGGACAATTTTATTATGTCTAAGATATTTAAGGTTTCATACATCCTAACATTGCAAATTATTAATTTTATAATAACTTGCCTCATTATTTGTTTACTTATAAAATTTAAAAGCAATACCATTTAAACTTGATGAAAGAAAAAGAAGCCTTCCCTGAAGTCATAACTGGAAATGACATGTTTCTCTGTAGTTATCCCTCTGTAGCTGTGCTAATCTGTAATGACTTTACAGTATGGTGGTTTGATATGAGTTTACTATCGCTCCTTCATGTTTGCCTTAATTCCTGGGATTGTGAGCCAGTCTTGCAGCTCCTCGTTACTCATCCTTTCCAACGCCGAGTAGTTTTCCTCTTTTCTAATTCCACTGTGACAACTTTACATGGATCATCTTGCCAGCACCAACTAAACTGTTCAAATTTAAATAATGTCTTTGGCATCTTTTTAATTGTTGCCATCATGAGACCCTGGGATTCACTCCTCCTTCCCATCTTCACCTCACCCTAATCTGTTTGTATCGGACAAAATCCACAACCAGAATCCGTTCATTCTGCACCAAGTTCCCGATACAGTGTCATTTTAAAGTGTATTTATATTTTCTTCTAATACAAGAAAAAAAGGTACCATATGTAGTATTCATTAGATATAATTAAATTAAGTCCCATTTGAAATTAGGACATTGTAAAAACATTTATTGCAATTATAGTTGCAAAACATTTTTTTAATTTCAATATGTACATATTTCTTTCTACAAATAAAGACAAAGTGTAAAACAATAACAATCAAAAGTCCATAAGTTGAAAACTTTATGAAATATTTTGCACTTTAAAGGGAAATACTTGGACAGCACAGATCAGACTAAAGCTGCTGCCTTAAACCTGACCAGTAACACAAAAAGCATATAACAAAAGAAAAAAAACTAATAATATCATCAACAAGAACCTGTTATGTAAAATGCAAAAAGAGCATTTAAAAAGTAAAACTCTACATTCAGCTGAATTTGATCCCTGGCCTGTATTTCCATCTCTAATTTGACAGATGCACTAATATTCTTTGACTACAACCTTTCGCAGTCAAAGCATTATGAGGCATAAAGCTGACTAAATACCTCTGTCATTTATCAGGGGATGATATAACAGCAGATTGCATTATGGGAAGATGGTACAGCCAGAGAAAGCAACATGAAGTTTCAGGCTACTTTCTCTTGACGGAGTTTGGCCATTTTACTAGAAAGGATTTTTTAACATGGCACAATTTATTTGCAGTGATCTGTTGTTAAGCATCAATATTTCTACATGACAGCTGTATTAGCCAATGATAGTGGCCCCTTTCATTAAACTATGATATAAACCCAAAAATGGGGAATATTTAAGCAGGGAGAAAGACAGCTAATTTATACAGCGCCCAGCTCCATTTAGCTGCAAACTTCTCCACCCAACCAATTTACAGTGCCTGCTGCAGATTGGAGCCTAGAGGAGCTCCAAGGAGCACTAAGAGATGGCACAACAAAAAACAATTGTATATAAGGAAGTCAGACCAAAACAACAACTCCTATGCAAGTCACAGCTGTTAAAACGGGTTTCCTTTTTGTTTTTTGGCATCCAAAGATTTCATAGGGGTTATATTCTACAAGGGTTGAGTAAACCGAGAGCAGGGAAGCTATATTTGTTTTTATTTTGATTCATTTAATGTTTAATTGCTATGGTTTAATCAAATAAATATAAGCAGTTATTGATATGCTAAAATAAAAACATGTATATATGAACTGATCAATATTGTGAGTTTTTAAGTAATAATAGCCATCTTTGTTGAATTATTTTTACAATCTGGATGCTGGGATTTCTGTATATTAACGGCAGTATTGCTGCAGCGGCAAAAATATAGAATAGAAATTTGTGGTGTGGAGGCCATTAGCCGTTGCCCTGCACTATTGTGCAGAGGCTGAGTAATTGCTATTATTGATTATAATGACTGTTACAGCAGAGCTGGAGAGAGTGTAAAATGGGGTTAGACACTAATTTTATGGTCAAATCTACCAGATCTTAATCTAAAACACATATGCACACTTTTTTTTTTTACTTTTTTAATAAATCAGGTGTTATATTAATGAATGCCTCTATTTAAAAAACTTCTTATCAAATCGTTATATATTCTCCACAGAATTACATTTTGCTTATAGAATATAAAATACTCACAATGTTCATGACAGCAAGGGCGTAGCTTTCCACATCTTTACTCCCATGATAGTCCACCATTTTGGGGTCCACCACCACTAGAGTTTCCACCCATTTTTCCCTGCTTTCTGAGCGTCGATGAATTCTACGCCTTTGCCCTTGATTTCGACGTTCCCATCTTTCTCGCTGCCTCTCAGTGCCCTCAAAAGTCCTGGAGGAATCTGGAGTTATACAGATTTTAGAATGTGAACTCTAAACTTAGAATGAGAAAACAAACTGTGTGAGACTTTTGATTTTACAAACCATTTTATATTTTTGGCCAGAGAGGGTGTCAAACTATCCAACTAATGTAGCTAAGATAAAAAGGAATCCAGAGTATTTGGTTTGAATTTCATTAGTTAAAATATTATATATTGGTTTGTTGTAAATGTTCTTTTAGAAAAGGTTAACAAGTGTCTTACAAGTTTTTACTGGGTAAATTATCTCAAGTAATCAGGGAATCTAAGGTCATTGCTAATGTCCTTCCATTTGGCACTGTGTAAACATCCATCAGTATGATTATCCTGCTTTTACACTTCAATCAATCAGGTTGATTTGAAACAGCTAATAGGTTCTTTGCCCTTTAAAATTGACTAAAATCAATAGGAGGTACTGAGTTTTGAAGAAACAATGATTCTAAGTGGGCTTTGTGTTTGTTCATTTAATGAAAGACACTGTATACCTGTAGGA